GCTGCAAAAAACGCATAATAATTGGCCAACGCACGGGCTGCCCGTGCGAAGATGTGTTTTTTGCATAGTTTCCCGCAATTTTAGTCGCTTCCGGCATCGGTTTTTTCGGCAAATGCTTCCAGCTGAACAAATTAAGACTGCCCGCCAGAACTGGTAGGAAACCTCCCTTAAAATTTCAGCTTTCCAGCTTCCCTGGCTCCTGAGTTATCACCTGCTTGGACGGGGAATATTCCCCTAAGATTTCAGCGTTCTAGTTCCCCGAGTTATGAACTTATTCCAAAAAAATTTTGGCGGGTCCGTACACGTGCAACACGCTTACCCGGGGGATGTGTTTAAGTGCATTAACACCCAGTTAAACGGGAAATATCTCCCTAAGATTTCAGCATTCTAGCTTCTCAGATCTTCAAGTTATGAACTTATCAGAAAACTTTGGCGGGTCCGTGCGCGAATGATGGCGCCAATTTTGCGGATTTGGGCCGCACGTGCATGTAGATTAAGTTCTCCAAATTTTAGCCCTGTAGCTTTTATAGGTCTTGAAATGAAAGTGTATGACAGACGTACAGAGAGACACATGGACACCAAAACAACCCCTCGTCAATATATGTTTTTGCATTGCACAGCTGCAAAAAAACGCATAACAATTCCTATTTAAGTTACACATGGAGGAAGTGTCATTTTAATCGTCATGTTACTACAATAGTATGACAGCTTCTAAAAACTTAAGCGGAAAATTAAAAATGGCTGAAAAAAAGTAAAGCAAACTTAGAAGTTTTGCAGGAAATGTTGGTTAAGGAGCTGAAAGATAAAAGGGCTAAAGATTACAAGCAAACCATCTTTCCCGCAGGTAATCTCAAAAAATAGTAAAAATAAAAATAGTAGTAGCAATAACAGCAATAATAATAACTGGTTTGAAGCAAATATTAAAGAAAAGAACAAAAAGGTTCGAGTTTTGAGGAGATCAAAACGCTATTCGACTTTACGGATCAGCGAAGAAAACTAAATCCGTCTGGGTCAACTGCACGCGGCTATAATTCAAGTTTTGCAACAAAGAGCAAAAACGGCACAGACACTAAATCATATCAGAATGTAAAGAAATCACATGGAAATCCGTAACTGAGCTTTCATTATAGAGATCAGAAAAATTTTTGATTTTCAAAACAACATTATCACAGTCAATACTATTCAATACACAACACATTATGTGTGGACGCACTCGGTACAATCACGTTAAATGTAGCTTTTTGATGAAAACTTACTGCATAGAGTGCCCAAAAGCCTTCTCGACGAATGATTGTTCTGAAGCAATCAAAAAAACCAGCATACTTTGCTGTTATTGAGATAGCAGTTACACCGTTGTCCAGATTATCAATCAATGTGCGCGTTCCTGCAATCATCAATGCGTATGTTATTGTATCGGCAATGACGCAATATTTAGCAAAATTTTAGAGAAATTTTTGAAAAATAAGTTATAAAAAAATTTTTATAATCTTTTTTTATAATTTCTTACAACTTTTATTTTTTTTATATTAATTTTTTATATACTTTTATTTTTTTATTTTCATTTATTTATTTACTTTTGTTTTATGTACTTACCAATTTCTTATATTTATAATTTTTGTCATATTAAAATCCTTATAATTTATATAATTTACAACCTATATTTTATAATTTTTCATAGATTTAAAAATTTATAATTTTTTACAATTTAAAAGTTATAAAAAATAATTTAGAAACCTTTCAAAGAATAAAAAGAAAAAATTTTGAATAAATTATCATTACAACCAACCCTGAATGTACAGTCGATGTAATACAGTCTCGAAGGGATAGAGAGCAAGATCAGCAAGCATATGTGACGTGAACGTGGAGAATATCTCCGGAAAGTAACGATAATAGATGGTTTTCTCGTGTGCTGGCTTCCGATCCTGAGAGAACAACGAAACTGCAGACAGTAATTCAGAAAATTTTAAGGTGATGCTATGTTGTCTGGCGATAAGGATGCTTGGAAAAATCCTTGCAAAAGGAAGTAAAAGAAGAAGGCCTATAAAATGACATAATTTTCTGCAATAATTTCAGAGCACGGCTTCCCATATAGTCATGCTTTTACTCATTTAATTTTGATTGTCCAAGTGAGACATTGGGTTCAGCCAGTAGTTCGTAACACAAAAAAATGGAATTGGAAAAGGGGTAAATGCATCACCCTTGCTTGGTACCTCAGTCCACACTCAGTGCTACGATAGAGTTCGAAGAGATGTCACGCGAATTACTAGATTTCTCGTCATTATGAAAAGTCAGCAAGTGGTCTCGACCGACACAAAAAATATCAAAACCCGGAAAACTTACGACATATCGCTTGAATAAGGAGTAAATCCAATCGTAGATGGCATTTGTCACTACATAATGCGACGTAAAGAGGCAAGCTGTGGGTACGGAAAGATAAACCAATGAAAAACGCTTGCTGTTATCCTTGGGACCGATGAAATCAAAGCGTAAACGATTGATTCCGTTGGTGACCACATCCATTACACGTAGCTCTTCACCGAGACCGCTTTCACTCTGCAATTCAGCCAGTAGAAAATCTTGAAGTCCAAGCTCTCATTTGCTTCGCATGCTTTCTAGTCTTAGAATTCTGAAAAGCATACCCTAACGGTTTCGACGAAAGATGAAACAATGAAGGGTGTCATCGAGATGGCAGTCGATCTGCAAACAATAAGTCATACTGGAACATTAGTCAGAAACAATAATTCAGAAATTTTAGTAAATACGAAAAGCAGAGGAACAGGAGACGGAGAAAAGAGGAAAAGAAAGAGACTAAAAGTCTCGGCATTTTCAGTATGGCAACAAACTAAGTTTCACCATATTAAAACTCGACGAGAGAAGTATAAGAAATGTGACCATGAAACAACAGCTGATCAAAGTGCCAAAATGTCAAATATGGGTTGATGACTCAGAAGAAAAACGAATTTTCACATGGCCCTCGAATGTATGCAGATAAAGAAAGCCATGTAACTCAGAAGAGAAAGAGCAGTAACAGTTGCGCCCGATATAATTATAATCTCAGTACCAATGAGATTATAATTCCAAATCCCAATTACGAAATTTTAGCAACAGTGGTGATAACGATTATGATAATATTAGTAATGATGACAATAAATAAAGCAATTATGATAACAAATAATAGTAACTGCAGTGGCAATACCTATTTAGACACAACCATAGTATGAAAAAAAAAAAAAAAAAAAAAAAAACGGAAAATCATCGAAATTAAAAAATTAGTTTCCAATGGAAACTTACGCTTTCAAAAGAAGATGGTAACAAAATTTTTCGATACTTCCATGTTTCACGTAATGCCTGAAAAACATAAAATTCCTGCTCTCCGACAAAATATCGAACATAAACAACATTTGCTGCAATGCCAGCAACGAACCTGGGAAGGCCAAATAAATCGGCAATGAGTATTTCTCCAGCAGTCGACAGGCCCCAGAGAACTCCCGAGCCAATAGCACCTTTCCATAATGTTAGAAATCCCTGAAAAAGCTAGTAAAATTCCCAGTGTTCTTGTGCCTCAGCACTAACACTGTTTGGTTTTTTGGGACTAAACAGAAGCTGTAAAGAGTTTGCACAAACCTCGTTGCTGACCACCTTACAAACAACCGGAATTAGAGTGAACGGCGTGAGATGTAATGTCCTCGCGAACTGATGCACTTGGCACTGTCGCCGTAGCACTGTGCATGGATGAGCTATGAGCGTTTTCGCCACCAAACTGAATTGGAACAGAAAAAAAGAAATAAATTCATTGAGAGAAATATTTATTTGTTCGCTATAACTTTTTCTCATTTTTCAGTTCTGTTTTTTTTGATTTTCTTCTGCCAGAGCTATATACTGTTCTGGGAAGTTGATTCTCATCGCCTTGTTCCCCCTTCCCCTCTCTCCGGTTATTGATGCAACTACTGGTAACTTTCCATTTTACTTCGCTCAGAGCTTTCTAAACAGATTCAAGCGAAACAAAAACACTCCAAATATGAGATTATGCCCGTTATAGAGCTTAATACTGCTTTAAAAATTAAAAAAAAGTAACGCGGCACCCTAAAAGTGTTAGTACAGAGAAGAAAACAAAATAAAAAATATTCAGTAATTTTCAATACTTCATACTTTGGACAATTGTACCCCTCATCCCAATTAGCTAGTAATTTCTCTACACCTCTCTGTTTTAGATCTCTTCCATCCAAACAACTCTACATAGCTGTTCAAGCTGATCCTTCCATCGCATTGGCGGCTTTCTCGCGTTTTTTTAATACGGCATACGTACTAATTAATAACAAATCTGTTGCGTGTTATTTGCTACAAACTAATAACAAATCTGTTGTCACAATCCAATTATTCTTTCTGATGCACAGAAATCTGACGTTTTTTACAAAAGACCGGGGCATCATAGCCAGAAATATACTGTGATTTGCTGACACCTGCCATGTGTTGTTTCATAATCCATTCGACCAGCGTAACTTCTACTCCATTTATTTTCATAGAATAGCACTGGTAACACTGTAGGGATGAAAAGTTTTGCTCCCACATCTGTTGTTATCTTAGAATTGAAAAAGACCTCGCACAGCCTTGTGATTATTGGCCATCCTTTTCCCCTTGTTCTGTTTAGCTCCAAAACTAATTTGTTATTCTTCTGTACTAATTATCCTATGTAGATATAGCTGTGCGAAAGCTCATTTCGTCCATGGATTTGAAGCCAAAATCCCATCGCACTGGCCGCAAATTCGTTTTAACAGACCTTACAATGCTTGTGGTTGCCCCACATTTAGTAAACATCATTTGTGAAAATTAATATTTCCGTCCACAAAAAAGCCCTCTGTTATTTCAGATCTCCGAAATTGTTTTCCAGTAGACTTGTATAGACTTTCGGGGAACAAATGTCACTTGATCCAAGCCTCTGACGATTCAGATTTTTATGGACTCATAAAAAGAGTAATTTCTCAGAGGAACAGAGAAAAAGTTTTTAACGATTTTGATATAAATCGGTACAATTCCATGTCCGACGGTCCCCGCACAACAGCACTGTATTCCACTCAGTCGAAAGCCTTCTTGAAAATCGTTGAAGAGAGAATAATAAGAAGGAATTTCGTATTCCCCACATGTTTTTATTTAGCAGTATTACAGTGAAATACCCACGCCTGAAGCTTTCTTGCCCTTCCTTCGAGTTTTCACCAAAAATAACGTCAAATCTGGCATGAACACAAAAAGCTCATAGATATCTATCTGATAACATGCACATTCTGTACAATTTACTTAATCGAGAGACAACTAACTCAGTGATGCCGATGAATGCGCTGCTTACAGGATCATGCGGCTTTCGACGAGGTGACGAGCTTTCGTAGGTGGGTATTGGCGGCAGCTCAGCTGGAGGCATAAAAACAGGTCCCGGAAGTATCACATCTGCAATGCCTCGCTGGTCCGGCTGCATCTGCGCATCTTCGAATGTGTTCGGTGCTGAAAATACAGAAACAACTACATACGCTCTGTCACCCGGCTCAAATAGATACTGCTGCAACTGGTGCGGTGCTGTGGGGGAGTAAAGAGGGAAAAAATGCTTTCAATGGTTCGGGCAGCGGGAGCCATATCTCTTTTCAGTATTTAAAGAAAATACTAATCACAGCCAAAACAACCAAAAGCACTGGGAATCACGACTGGGTAGATGCAAAAACCCCGAACGAAACTCCGTGTGTGTATCAGGGAGGAGAGAAGCGGAGTGGGGAGGGGAGAGGTTTTAGGAGGGTGGGCCCGGCAACGGGAGGAAGGGAGGAGGGAAGAGGGAGGAGTTAAATATGCATTTCGAACAGTATAACAAAATACAAGCATAATATTTCAGCATTCGTTATAAATTAGAATGATGGAGTTTTTGGGAGCACAGATTCTAGCTTCGAAACAGCTCAAAGCCATAAAATAACTACAATTCTATTGGAGCTACTACTTCGGATGAATGGAAATCAAAATCCACATATGGAAATTAAATTCCACTGCAGCTGATCGGGCCTAGAACTATACATGAAAAAAATACATCCTGGCCCCTTGGTGCGCACTGTCATTCATTACCATTTTAGAAGAAATCAAAACAGAAATCAGTCATTTTGTAACAAATATCAACCCCTTCTGCAGAAGCCCCGTGAGAACACTGCATCTCAGTTAGACATAACCAAGTGCCCTGTACAGAGACAGGATTCCAAATCAGACTATGATGAGCAGTATCGCTTTATCCGCGAAAAGAACCACTGAAATCCGGACAATATGTATTACGGTAATGGCAAGAAATATATATGACTTAATGGACCGAAACATTTCTTATCATTAAAGCATCTTTATTAATTTACAAATTTTGCAATTCTCATCTCCTATCTTCCTCTCTGTTCATCTCTTTTCATCCGTTTTATGCGTTTTGTGCTGTGTAACAGCAGCAAAAAACGCATATTGTCACGGGGTTGTCTATGTGTGTGTGTGTGTGTGTCCCACATTTCGCCCTGCACTTTCAACTCAGGAACCACAAAAGCTAGACGGCTGAAATTTTATTATAGTGTTCCCCGTCAACGGGTGACGCGGCATATTTAAAATCAGCTTTCCTGTACGCGCGGGTAACACGTACGGCCCCATAAAAGTTCGAGTAAAATTAGTATCACGGGAATCACGGAAGGCAGAAGGCTGCAATTTTGTGGGCTTGTCCCCCGACCAAGTGCTAGCCAGAAAATTTAAATTCACCTTTCCCCCGCCCGCGGGTAAGAAGTACGGCCCTGTGAAAATTTTTCATGAGTAAATTATTATCTCGGGAAACACGGAGTCTAGGAAGCTGAAATTTTAGGGTAATGACCCCTGCCCACGTTCAACCTTGCCTATTCAAATTCAGCGCTCCCGCACTCTCGGGCACCACCTACGGGCTAGTGAAAGTTTTTACGGGTAAATTATCATCCCGAGAACACAAAATCTAAGAAGCTCAAATTTTAGGATTATGACCCCTTGCCCACGAACGATCTTGCAAAAATATTCAGCGTTTCCGCGCTCCTGAGTACCACCTATGGCCTCGTGAAAATTTTGGCGGGTAAACTATTAACTCGGGAATCATGGAAAAATATTCACCCTTCAGGGTTTCGAATTCAGCTTTCATGCTCAGGTGCGTGAAATTTTTATATTTCAATGTCTCAACTATTTTTGCATAGACAAAAGTACAAAGCAGTGAAAATCATTAAGGGGCAATCATTCGATAGACG